ACACCAGCCTACACTGGAGTAGAAAAGTGTGGGGCAGCATACTTCTGGTTTGTGTTTTAAGGTAGGCTGCACTTGAACAGGACGGTGTGCACAGAGTGTAGCTGGTACAGGAAATGTAGGTAAATCGAACGAGCCTACTGTTGATGTTTGCAAAATGAAGTATAAGAGGCATGCCTAAGCAAAAGCAAATGTAATGCCAGTCATCGCGAATGCCTCGAAAAGTGTGGCAATGCTGGGGGACATTTTCTAGAGCAGAGGCCAGGCCTCGGAAGACATTTCTGTTGCATTTGTAGCCAACTTTCCAGGGAGGAGGTTCTGGGCAGGGAAGCAGTCGTGGGGTTGCGACCCGTGAAACCCAAAGGGGCACGGACAGGCACTTCGGTGTCCTGGTTCGTTTCGGCTGGTAGCTACGCGTATACAGGGAACAGGTATTTTGTGGTCGCACGTTCTGTCGGTTCGGGCTCTACGGTTATTGGGACTCTCCCAAAGCCACGTGCATACTCTTCTCTTCCTAGTTTGGTATCCCACCAATAAAGCAGCATGTGTACACTGGTGTCGTCTGTTGGTTTCACTCACTACCTGTGCCTTGTCCACTGAAATAGCAAAACACTGATCCGTGGCTTTGGTTCAGTGGCCCACCTCAACAGGAATGTTCTTATTTCAGTTTCACCAACTTGATGAACGTTTTAGGGCCAAGCTCCTTAGGGTCTAGCCTCGTCCGTCCGGCGTCCGTGCTCACATCGATTGCCATCCCATCTGTCTTCTTAAAAAAAGAAAAAATGTTTGCGCAGTCGACAGGGTTCGAACCTGTGCGGCGAGACCCCAATGGATTTCTAGTCCACCGCCTTAACCACTTGGCCACGACTGCGGGACGAGTAGGGGGCTCTGAGATGTGGTAGTAACTCAAGAGCTGGGGATGTCATGGATGAAACGTTGCATGTAGCCACTCAACATCTATACAGGAGAGGGCGCTGCGGTCAAATACGTATAGACGCTTTACACACGCGCCAGAATACAGCCGCCATTGCTGACCTTCGCTTGTTTTATTGAGATACCGAACCACTGAAATTAGTGTGGACGAGCCTCCACAAAAGCCCATGCTGGGGAGAAAGACAGAATAAAATCTAGGATGGCAATGACCTAGCCTGCTATGGTAATAATGAAGTGAAGTAAACGTAATAAGGGGAAACAAAAACTGAAGGTCAGTTATGGCGGCGCCCATGCACAGCTGCTGCAAAGCGTCTATTTAATCACGTTAAACTTTGCATCAGCACTACCTATGAACAAAATCAGTATCATCAGCACCACAAGAGCTTTGCCCCAATCAGCATCATTCACCACGTGGAGATGCGGTCATTTTTTTAACAGTAAGCTTCTGTCCATGCGCACATGGCCTTGCTTTCCGCCGCTGCCTTTTTCGGAGAGCACCGTGTCCTACGATCAACATTGTCAGAGCCTATCTGCAGATATTTCACTTTTCTTGAGCATGGGTATAGTAGAAGGCATAGAAGGCAACGGAAATTAATACAATGACATGATGCCATTGCGTCCCCACGGGTGGAGGCATGTTTTGCTGCCACTCATTTATAGTTTGCAGACAACCACCCCCCCACCCCAGCGTTCGTTACTCTGAAAGGTCCATTAATGCAGCATTCTTGGGACCAAGGAATTGGTTAGATTTCTCTGCAGGGCTTAGACCACGTGACAAACGTCTCTCGCCTTTGCGCAGACGTGGCGACATAAGCTCCGCAGTGGATTGTCGAAGGGGATGCTTGCATGGTAAAGACATTCCCAGTTTAGATGAGGATCTATCCAGTTTCAGACATTTTGTCGCTGGAAGCTCGGGTGCCAAATGAAGAAACTACCTCGTTCATGCAACTAACGAAGCTCGCAGCAGACGTCGCACATGTCCCTCTGCAGATTTCTCCGCACCAATGCCGATTACCGAGGTGACGTAGTAGCCGACTGAAAGTGACGCTCCCGTCATTTTGGAACTCCTAAACCAAGGAGAAGACGACGAAGGATACCACTTCTAATTTTTGCCTCCCTCGTGGCGCTCGTCGAGCAAGCGACAGCGGCTACGTCTAAACTACCGGCACGGCACTGAGGGTCGGACGTCCGAGTAGGATGCACGCCCTTGCGGTTTTATCCGTTCCTGGGGGCCTCCAGGTGGCGCAGCATGTCTCGAAGGCCAAATTGCAGAATTAAAAACAGCACAAACAAGATGAAGGACAAGAGGAGACGTAGGCAAACAGAGTGCCAACTCTCAAGTGAAATTTATTGAAAAGCAACGCATAAATATCGCCGTGAATAAATAGGAAACAATTCTTATCACCTTGCCATGCACTACGACTGTCAAACACGTGCCCCCAGGAACGCCAGTTCTTTATCAAACGGAGCGCTTGAGGGTGTACTTATGCCCACGTCATTTCCACGTCGAGATGTGGTACACCTCGGCAATCTCCCTCGTTCTTTGCTGTCTATACCCCCCAGGATGACTGTCTTCCAAGACTGGTTCACACCCACATCTGTAACAATGAATAGTGAGATTGCCCGAGGGCGATGACCTCATTGAGAGCGCATGCTCTCTTAGCCTATCATTTCTACATCGCCCTGTCTGGCCAATGTACACTCTGTTACATGACAGGGGTATCTGATAAACCACACCCTCCCTACACTGTACAAACCATTTTCTGTGTTCCTTTGTACATGTGCAACTCCTCCGTTTACCACAATCCACTTGCACGTAACCTTCCAAACTTCGATGAGGCTGAAAACGCCACGGGGATGTTGTGCCTCTGCACCACTTTCTTGAGCCGACAAGTCACCTGGTGTATGTATCGTAGAACCACTGGCCTTCAGGTTTTTTACTACCATACTCGTCCAGATGTTCCAGCACCTTGATGAGACTCTTCCCCTTCAACTGAAAAAAGGGTGTGCAGATAACCCCACCTTAGACTTTCTACTTGGATTGAAAAACTACACCTCATCTCACGTGGACACGATTTAGCCGAGGCCATTTTCGGACAGGTTACAGCCTATGCCCCTGTTCACCACCCTGGAATGGCAAGAATCGAAAGGCAGCACTCCCCACTTACTCCTGGGACGGTAAGACAGGCACAAATGGTCGTCTGTAAAAGTAAGCTTTGTCTAGGAACTGTAGGCTCCCACCTATCGGTTCTTGTGTAAATTTTAACCCCCTCCCCTCCCCCCCCCTCCTTCTTCCTCCTCCCTCCTCCTCCTCCCCCCCCCTTCCCCTTCCCCGAGCTTCACCTGAATACCTCTACCGTAAAATCCCGAAAAATAGCCCACCTAACATCAAGAGCAAATCACGTGAAAATATGGGGTGGGCCAACTTTCAATGTACAATCAAGGAAAGTAAAAAAAAAATTGCTACTTTAAGGTCATGTCCCTTCTGGCAACAAAGCAGATATCTGTACTTCCCAGTCAGCAATGTTCGCATATATCCTACCATAGTTAACTAGCCGCATTTACGCCGAGGCCATCGCTGATCCCAGCACTGCGATTAATAGGAATGGGCTATCTTTCGGTGTTTAAAAAAATATAGCAAACAGAGCCAAAAATAGGGGTGGGCTATCTTTCGGGGGTGGGGCATCTTGGAATTTTACGGCAACGTTTTATTTAGGACCTCGCCTTTCTAACGGAACTATGTCAGAACACCACCAGGTAATCATATATGTAACGAAAGACTTGTTACTACAAGACCCATGTCACTCAGGACAGGCGCAACACTCTAGCCTAATTGCACAGTTTGACAGTCATAGTGCATGACAAGGTGATAAGAATTGTATCCTATTTATTCACAGTGATTTTTGTGTTTTTCAATAAAGTTGAGTTGAGAGTCGGCGCTCCATCTGTCTACGTCCCCCATTCTCTTTAGTCTTCTTCGCGCCGTTTTTAATTCTTCGATATGCAAAACCAACTCGCCCTAATCTAAGGCCACACGTTTTTCTGTTTGCTTTCGATTCATGCTTAATATTACGGTGCCTGCAACGAGTCTCGGACCGATGTGCTTAGTGTCCCAAGAAAAGGCCCCTCAATTGCCACCCAATGACATCGCAGAAGTGTCGCGTCACCGGCAGCGAAACTGGAGGCAGACGGCAGCAGCGGTGTTCCGCTGAAAGTTGTCTTCCAGCTCGACAGTTCACGGAAGCTTCGCCAGCCAAGAGTTGGGACTCCGCGATGACGGCAACTCTCGTTCGCTCATACTTTTGCCGGGACTCCTAGCGCCAACCGTCGAGATAGTGACATCCGACGGCGCGACACTCCGGCTTCTGCGACATCTGTTGCCACTTTGGGACCACTTCGCGACCTCTTTTCATGCATGGGTGGAAAGGGACACCAGACGCACCGGTCGAAGACTCATTCCCGGCTCTATTGTTCACTTCGACGGGCAGGTTGCAAGCAGCTGTGTTCAAAGTTTGCCAAGAAGGCAGTCTTGGTGCTGTGGGGAATGGACAATGTCCTCCCACAGTAATTCAAGTGAGGACATCCGAGACAACCAATGTCAGATTTCGGCGACTGCTCCGAACGTTCTGCCCTTGAGCACGGCTGGGCTGGCCTCGTGCTCCCCAAAAGGTTCCAAGCCGTCGCCGAAATTTGGTGTCAATTTTCTTGGGTGTCCTCACATAAATTGCTCTGCAAGGACTTTGTCCATTCCCGGCATAACTGGCAACCCACACGCAACAGGTAACTTCAATGACTGCATCTGCCAGGGTGGCGAGGCCTGTTGGGTCGAGAGCCGTCGCGGAAGCCAACACCACCTGGGTCGGAGTGCCATCCACCACGCCACAAACCTGAGGAACATCTTCGCAGACCTTCAACCAGTGCCAACGCCAGCGGTGTCTACCAAGATGCCGTACATCACCGAAAACTGTAAAAGGACTTCAACCATCCCCACAGTGGCGTTCTCCGAACGCCACGCTCGCAGTCTGCTGAACGGAACGCCGGGTTCTTCGGGCAAAGTCACAGGCGCAAAATCTAATATCACTGGCTTTATTTTCAAAGAATGATCGCGACACCTCTTTACAGTACAACAAACACACAAAGCAGCAGTGGCTAAACTAAAACTTCCTGCACTACTGCCCAAAAAGGAACGCAACGGTTGTCTAAATGCGCGGTTGAGGGAAAACTCGCTACAAAACGCCCTCGAGGGATTCGAGGGGAAACCTCTCCCCAAAGAAAAGGGTGAATAAAGGAGGGAGAGGGGGGAGCAGGTCGGCAAATTCCGCGCACCCGAGAGAAAGGAAACTCCTTTGTTTAAAACTCTATACACACACGGTACACACTTTATACTGAACGTAACTCTTACTTCCTCAACAAAACATAAGAGGAAAAAAACTGTACAGTATATACAGAAAACCTAAACACTTTTGCAGTTTGTGTAGTATTATTTTTTTTTTGTCTCTTAAGTGTTGTTCACAAACAGAGCCACCCCAAACCGCATCACCGTGGCAGGCATCCGCACGAGCTCCCATACCCGGTTTCACGCCAAATGGAATATGTAGAGGCGGCTACGAGCGCGATTGAATGGCTTTGGAAGGTGCAAAGACAAGGCAGAGCCTCTCAATATCGATGATGATTCACCAAACCAAGAAAAAAGGTGGGAGCTCTAATAAAATCTATTTCATTTAGTACGCTGTAACGCAATGTAGCCTACAAGTTTACCATATTCCAATTTTAGTAGACTGACAGTAAAGTCCGTTTTCCTTTTAATTTTCTCTATGTTGGTATTTTTGTTATATAGACGTGGAATACCTAACAATCCAAAAAAGAATTTGCCATACCATATTTAAAGTTGTAGCAAGCTCGTAAAGCCAGCATAGACCTTTGGGGTACCGAAGATGTTTCAGAACCTTCTACATAAAATGACTATGGCAGATATAGGACGCGCTTTCACCCTAAGTGGACCTGCCAAAGCTACCGCCAAACATTCGTAGCCTTCCCTTCTTATTCCACTCGATGTGGAACTGAGCGTGGGCGGACAAAACAACACTGGCAGCGCACACGTCGAGATTCTGAAGCTCCTCCAGTCCTGCGCAATTCTCCGACGCGTCGTCGACAAAACGGCAACGGGCGTCGGACTTTCGAACGACTCAAATTCCCGCGCCAAACAACTGAACGGCGTGCCGCGGAGGATTGCACAAAACCAGCCGCCGTCTACGTTTTTGCTGCCTTCAACGAGCCAACAACGCCACCCCGTGCGGAGACAGTCTGCCAAGCGGACGCAACGGTTGTTGGCCGCCTCTAAAGCTAAGACAACATTTTTTTTTTTTATCGCTACGGTCAGACGTTGAAACCAGTCTAGACAAAAACCTCGCAGTATCTTTTTTTTTCTCCTTTTCCTTTTACCTTTTACAATGTGTCGCATTTGGCTGACAAGTGTTCTGGGTCGGAAAAAAGGGCGCCACGACTCCCTTCTCCGCCCAAAATTTGTTACTTTGCGTCGTTTTATTTTTCTCGTTTGCCGTTTACTGCGCGAGTTTACGGGTGGTTGCCCTACGACAGCGCTGTCGTCTGCTGGCTACAAAAGACACACGCAAACTTTAAATTCTTTTTTGTTATTTTTCTCCTCCGCTACGAGGACCTAACAAAGATTTGTCGGTGACGCGCCCAAGACTTCGTACAAAGCCGTCTTCCGCGCGCTCTCTCCGCTTCTCGCTCTCCCCAAAAAGCCACGGGACTTTTTTTTTTTTTACGGTTATCCCGCGATTGTCCATCGAGAGCAACGCTGCACACGGGTCGACGCCCCAAAAAGACACCGGAGGACAAGAAAATCTAAACGCAAAGTAAAACAAGGAAGACACAATTATATCAACAAGGATTGTCTATGACAACGATATCACAGAAAAACGAAGTAGTTTGTTTCTTTTCTTTCTCAAACACAATAAATAAATAAAAGTGGGAGAAAGCTTGTTCCCAAAAGTTCCGTTCCGCAAGGAACCGCAATGAATTGCACTCAAAACCCGGTTGTTTCTTCCTTCCCCGGTCGGTTTCCAAAACACCCTCCTCCGATCGTGCGCCTCCACACGGTGCACGGACCGGCCGATCGTGATATGCCCATTGGTGATCTGTACATCAAAGATCAGCCCTTTGGTGACTGGTCCATTGACGACTGGCCAATTAATGGTTGACCCATAAAAGATTGGTTCATCGACGATCGGCCGCCCCAGAATGCAACTTCAGCAAGCTTCTTCGCCGTGCAACAAAAAGAGTCGCGGCGGTTGTGATCGGAACAAAACGACACGACGGAACCCAAGCAAAACTAGCACGCGGTAATGAGGGCGGGGCGCAAGTTTGGTCCACTTTGCGGCAACCATTGTAAAAACTAGGGAAGGGGGAGGAGAGAGGGAGAGAGAGAGGGGGCAGCTCAGACAAAGCCCCAGGCTTCGAGTGCCTTGACCACAAAGTCCTCCTTGGTGGACAGCACGTCGTTCATGTAGGTCTTGCAGCGGCGGCTGCGTCCGTGGAACAGGTCGCCATCTAGCCACAGCCCGAACTGACCACTGCAAAAGACGATCCCGACAGATTATGCTCCACACATCCTTACAAATTTGCATTTGAGTGCGACCTACTGCATTGAAATCGCGTGCGACAGATTACAATGCGGCAATATACCTCACGATCCGTCAGCTCACTAAAATTGCCTAATGACCTTCAAGTGTTGTAGGTTTCACGAGTCGTGTTCCCATTGCAGTTTTAAAGACAGTCACTTCTAATGGATAGACCAATTTATATAATTTCCGAAAAGGCAACAGTCTTTGAGACATTCATCCACAAGACTTCGCACATTTGTCTACAGTTCGAAAAGTGCGGGCATAGAAGTACACCCAATTGTTTAGGGTGCGGCGAACTAAATAATGAAGAGAGGAGTCACTGGCACTCTGTCGTCACCTAAGCAGCGTCCGGTCGACGCTTCCACCAACCATGCGCTGCCGAGACAAAGGGGTGACTGACATGAGTATGTCACTCTTGCATTTCAATTATGAGGCGTTCTTCGTGCGTACACTTTTTGAATTGCCTACAAACATTAAAAAAACATCACAAAATATCTGAATATCTTTTGCAAAGTTCATTAAGTAATTTGAGTTAATTAGCTGATGGGTCGTGAGAAATACTGCCCCATCTGATGCCCGCTGAGCCCGTTAAATACACAATGAAAGCCATGAAACGATTTTTCTACTTTTGCAAAATACTATCATAAAATACCGAGCCCACTCAAACTTTGAAGATAATCGCGAAAAAATATGGGATGGGAGCATGCGAGGTCATTCACTTTACATATGTACTGTGGATATTTTTTCAGATGTTTCGAATTTTGGCGGTGGGCACGCAGTGTGGAATGGGCAGATGCACAGTTATCACAGAATTGAATAACTGTGACAACGGTATTCTACAGTACACTCAGAATCAATCCCCTAACGTTAATAACTGAGTAAACTTGTATGTATTAGTTTTTCTTTTTTTTCCTAAGCAATGGCAGTCAGCAAATAAATTAGAGAAATACGAGCATTGTTCCTCGCCTTCACTCGGAGCCAGAACAAGCGACCACGTGGCCTGGTGCCTATCCTATCCCGCCAACGTTAATCATAGCCACGCGGTGGAGTCGGCAAAATAGAAAACGCTTGCTGAGCTCCAGGCTCAGCAAGCGAGCACTACCCGAGTGTCAGTTGAGGCACTGATTGTTACGAGCTGAATTCAAGTGCCCCCCCCAATGCAGTTCCCCCTCGTGCCTAATCCTTAAGTCGCGCTCGACTGTCGTCAAGCGGGTGGTTTCGATCCCACAATCACGTCGTCAAGCTTTACGAAGGCAAGACAAAGAAATGGACCCTTTTTATTTTCGCAATTTCACCGCGACCAAGAAGCTTCTGAATCAGTGGCGGTCTGTTCAAGTACACTTGAGTCAGACTAGGACTAGTACGTCTTTGTAAAGTCACAAACATTCCAACCCAATATCGTTTCATGACCCCTTTAAGGGGTTACGAGCAGTCAAAACAGGTGATTGCACTTAAAATGCAAATATGTGATCTAGTCTTTGAGTGCAAACTCAATAAGCAGTCTACTGCAGTGTCCCTCTGGTGAAACGAATTGAACTAAAAGCTGCTGTTGTTGCTCAGTGTCAAAATGTAGTGAAAAGAAGACTCACTCTCCTGCTCCAAATGCCAAGGAGTCTGCGTTGCCCTTGATAAAGTAACCGTTGTCACCGGCCCAGCGGTAGACCTGCAACATGCAGAAAAGGAGGGTTGTTCATTAATAACAAACTAATTCAGAAATAAGAGGCACGAGATTTTTATATGCACAACAGAGTCGCAGACCGATTTTTCAAACTTCGCAGGGACCCACAAGACGTCCGAAAATAGAGCAGTTAGAAAAATGAGCAGATTAAAAAACTTGCTTTTATTTCGTCTAAGAGGGCTTAAAAAAGCCATAAACAGTGCCTTGCTTCAAGTTACGCCTCCGTTTGCGTTCAGCAACTTCCTATTAGCTTGAGAATCGGTGCCTTCTTTTCCAGTGTTTGGTCGAGGGCTTTCTGCACTTCTTGGCAACACATCGCGGCGGCGGAAGAACAGATGGGACAATGATGTCCAGGCCAGCGTAGTCCAAACAAATGATTCACCAAGACAAGACCAAAATGAGAGGCGCAAGTCCATGACTGCGATGGCGAATGAACAAAGCATAACGGGAACAATGATGATGATGATAATGATGCGCAGCTAGAGAAAAAAAAAGTTGCACAGCGTCATTTAGAGGTAGGACTTAGCAATACTCAAGCAGTGCAGCCAAACCAAGCCAATCTATGTGCAGCCAATCCATGTGCAGCCACCATGGAATCCAAAATGGCTGCTTCTTGGTGGTGTTTTCAGCTGATAGCTCACAACGATTTTGTTCGAAAAATCAAACTTTCGGACTTCGAGCTGTCTGGAACATTGATTGTGAATATGCACAATTTCGTCGGGTGCCTCACGGTTCCTCCTTTAGGACCGAAATATCGAACAAGTCCGAATTATCGGCGTCCGAAAAATCAGTCAGCGACTAGCTGTACGTGTAAATCAAAAGCATCTAAAAAATACGAGGAACACTACAATCGTCAGCACCAATTGCAGCAGGACTTCGGACTTGTCAGTGCAGGGTTTAGGAGGTTGGTCTTCTGGTACACGTGAACACTCACCTTGAACTCGGGGAAGAAAGAGAAGAGGAACGACTCCCCCGTGCCGTAGAAGTGGTCGCTCATCTTCAGCGAACAGGACGACAGCGCTCCAAACACCTGCGGTGCAGAAACCCCGTGCATCAGCCCCTGGCGACCAAGAGGTGTCACTGAGGGTGCCGAAAACCACATTAAATTCCACATAGGCTGCCACCCCAAAAGACTTCGGGGTTCTCCTCAACCCTTTCATGCCAAAATTATTTGCAAATTATGTAAGCAAACGATTTTTACAGGAAAGTGCCACTTAAGGTGTCCTAAGAAAAATAGCCACATCTCGTGAAACGGGGGGTATGTCGTGAATTAGCAACAGGCCACGGCATAACAAATTTTCTTTCTATGCCGCCCGCACGGAATTTGATTTTTCCTCCGAAATAGATGTTGCAGAAAAAAAGTCCCCAAATTATGAAACAGAAAGGTAGCTCTTTATCCGCTTAAAAACAAGCTAGCGAAGTGCTGGAAGCATCTAGGCTCAAGCTGTATGGCTACGAAAACTCGTAAAAACAGTTGCAAAGCTTGTTAGAGTAAAAATTAGTGTAAAACCTGCAGCACATTATGACGAAGTGTCCTTCACAACCCGGTTTCTTGTACGGCTCTCTGGTGTCCTTCACCACCTGCCAGTGTCTCGTACCACATGCACAGACGTCTTCGTTTGCCCCGTATAACAATTTTCCGTTAAAATTACTTCACAAGCCAATGATAATTTTTTTTATTGTTGCTCAAAACGCAACACTTGCTCATCACTGAATGTCGAACGTTGCGACAGGGCGAGCATAGCATTTTTCTTCGTCCGAAAGCTCCACGTAAGCGTCAGGTGCAGCTCGTAAAGTTAGTTTGGACTACAGACATTTTCCACATAAATTGTGCATAACAAAGTATTTATAGCAACTTTTTTTTTTTTTTTTTCATGGAAAAGTTTTTTGTATTATGGCCCTTCTTAAAGCTATCTTTAATGCGGTTTAGGATGCCCGTTGGGCACCTTCAACTGCTGCCAGGTCTTATCCCAGTCACACTTAATTGCAGTTAAGGGTGCTTGGGTGTTTTAGCAAGTGCTTCATTCCTTCAGTTGTACTTTCTTTGAGTATTCCCTTTAGTCCTCTCACAACCGTCTGCAACTTGTAGAAAAGAAACTCACGGCGCCTTCAGTGTCCAAGATGGCGAGGATGATTGGAGTCTCCACCTTCAGCATCTCTCGGTAGAGGGTCTTGAGGCTGAAGCCGTGTTTCAGCGTGCTGTACACCAGCGCCCACGAGTAGCTCTCGGCCCTGGCGGGCAGCTCCTTGCTCAGCTGCGTACGTCGTGACAAAGACTACGGTCAGGACACGCCCGAGGCCACACTCACGAGTCCCGGTCGGTGGACGGACAGACGGATGGACGGTGGTGGCAAAACCCTTTGAATGGGGTGGTAACTTGCGCCACCTAGCCCATGGTCGCCAACGCGACGAGAATGGCAGGGCATCTCTATTTGACACTTGGCTTCCTGCACAAGCTCACCACCCTTTAACATACCCCGGCTGTGTGTGCATGCTCGAGGTTCATGGGACGCTGAAGTGCCATCAAGGGTAGGAAGCTCAGATTAAAGAGGGGGAAAACTGAAGGATCTCCCCGCCGTCCTCATCTCGTCGGCGACTATGGAGACACTCAGGGAACCCCAATGAATGGATGGATTCGATGGTAGTGGCTACGCCTTTGGAGTCCCAGTCAGTGGTCAATGCAAAGACAATGTTGCCAACAACAGCACTGACCATATTTACTCACATAAAGAACACACTTTTTTCTCCAAAAAATTGACACTTACTTGGGGGGTGCGTTTATTACGCGGGGTAAAGCTTGTGCATTTACACACTTCGCGCAAATGTCGTTTTAGGTGCCAATATGACACGGCAGGGTACCGTGGCACGTCTTCAGGGCTGGAAGAGCGCCTGCGGCTGGTCGTGGGCATGCCACAGTAACCGTGCTCTATAAACTGCAAACCTTTTTTAAGGCACTTTCAGCGTGCCTTTTGCCTAGGAAAAAGTGCCCTATGGAGCTCAGCACGGAGAGCGACGCAACCGTTCTTAGGCCTAACCACTTTCACGATTTCACTGTGCGAAAGCGGACCAGAGATGACGGAGTGTTTGTTGACATCAATGCATCCGATGGACGAAGCATGTCTGAGGCTGGGCAATTAATTCCTCAACCCCAGCTTCGTTAGGTGCGCCCACCACACGGTTTCATGGTTAATCACTTCCATAACTACGCATTTGCAGCCATTACAAGAGTGGCTTGGTTTGACTTGTCCTGTTCGCATGGTGGCAAAAAAAAAATTGGCTTAACGGGCCTGGTGGACAGCCAAGTTGAACGCAGTTAGAGACTCGCAAAGGCGAAAATTGAAGGTGCCTTCATTACGTGAAGGGGAAAAAAATGTCCAAATTTTGATGGCCGCTGTGGGGGCTGCTTTCATTATGCGAGTAAATACAATACTGAGCTTTTTCTTGTGCGCGGCCATAAACAGCTGTGGAGCACTTGTGATGGTACACACTACACATTCAGTCGCAAACAGGTAAGTAAAAACCTACGCAAATCGACAGCATTTCACGATTCACTCGCAACATCATTGCACACATAAAAAAGTAAGTATGCCATGACGCATCACCAGCACGAAATGACCTAGTTTTCATCATGCAACTCGAAAAGGAAGTATAATGGCTTTGACCGCAATCGGTCCCATTTGTATGAAAATGGAGCGCTACAATAATGCCGTCGGTCAATAAATGTGTCGCAGTTGTATAACCATTAACCTATACAGCAGAATTCTTCTGTTCATAAACAAGCCCATATCGGCCCGGACCGGGTGTGGGCACTGCGGGAACCAGACCCAGGAGAAAAGAGGCATCTGGACATGCGCAGTGGCAACAGGAGCATCACCGCAGTGGTGTTACGTGTGAGAGTCGGGTTGAGCAAGGGCTTATTACCTGCCAAAGCTGCCACCAATAAAATAGGCTAGTAAAATGCCTTCTGCTATTTGTTATGTGTAAAAAAAAAAAATGTATTCATCTCTTTACTCAGGAGCACGCAGAACTCTACACATTGCAGCTCCATGCAAGGATGTAAGCTGTATGCGTTGTGAAAGCTGCCACGAGCAAAGTTCCTTTAGCTACTCGGAGGCAGAGCACAACGGGAAAATTAACAAGGACGGAGCTTTTCTTTAGCTGCCTGTAGCACGTTTAGCAATGAAAGCATCAAATTCTTTTCATTTATTTGTCACATTCAAGTATTCGTAACGTTCCACAAAATGTACAAGCCGGCGGCACAAACAGAGCGCGGAACAGTCCGCTAACACAAACACACAATCAGTTTTTTGTCCTCTATCCCTCGCAGCCAAAAGGCAATGTGATTGTCAAGCCTGGTGCAATTTTCGCACCAGCCGAAACGGTCAAATTTGGCCTTCACCACTATCGGGTTGAAGCAAGTTTCTGAAACTCGTCGACAGACTATTCGTACTGGCTGCGCCGGAAAACATCCGTAATGTATGGGCCCGAGTGGCGGCAGGAAGTGCAAAAAACACCCACCTTTCTGCGGTGGTCCTCAGTGAAAATCTCAGTGGAGTCTAGCAACTCTGGCAAGGGAAGTTCAATCAGGTCGAGGGGAGACTCCCTTTGTGCTTCGCTCATTGACACCACCTTGAGAGAAAGAACGGGAACAGAGATTAATAATCAGTAAAAGAATGTAATCATTCTGTATTATAGCCCCCTCACCCCCCTCTCTCCCTAGCAGCTGTTCGAGATCATAGACACAGCCTTTACAACGCTAGCATACGGATGTTTCCTGCAAAAACAGCTGGAGAAACAATGGAAATTAATTACGAGAGGGGAGGCCCCCATTCGATCTGTGCTGCCAACGTACAGGATGCGGCTGTAAGGACTAAAGCATTCGGCACCCCTAGCCAGCGGCGTAGAGTTTCCATTTTCCCGGGGGGGGCAGACCCGGAATGTGGCTCAAAAAAAAAAAAAAGGGGGGGGGGGGGGGGGAGGCTGCGGGGGGGGGGGGGGGGGGAGAGGAGGAGAAGGTTCTTGTTTTATTTGTTCCGTGGGTTCTCCCCATAAGGGTCACCTGCAGCAGTCGGAGCCTTTACCGAGCATTTTGGTAAACCCGAGACTGGAGAAAAAGGGACAAGGACATAAACAAACGGACACGGACATTGTGACAGCTAACTACCTGGTGTCCCCAAATAAGACGCTCCGCAAAAGAATGACCCGGAAACTTCAGCGGTTTGACGTATCCAGTAGAAATTTCTCTGAATACGTGTTTTACTGGCCACATTTATGCAAACATATTGCAAGACTAAACTACCAGTACAAAAAAGCGAATCTTTTTTTTTTTCTGCAGGGGTAGTTCGGGTCTAAAATTTTGTTGCATAAATGTGACCAGTAAAACACGTATTTCAGGAATATTCCTACTTGTTGCACCAAGGATCTAAATTTTGCGGGCCATTTTGTGTGTAAAGTGTATTTTGAGATGCCCATATAGTACCAAACTCCCCGAGTGGATACGCAGGCGCACCAAAAGTGTTAATCCTTTGATCGCTAGCAGACACAAGTTGCCGTCGGCAGGGCTTGTCTACGCGCACTCTCCGCCTGGAGGCACGCTCCCCACGCGGCGACCTTGCTGTCCGGGATGCTCGTTCCTTTCGGTGCACCGCCTCGTGTAATCACTTTTTGACGAGCTGGACTTCGCTTTTCAACGCAGGGACCCATCGGAGAGCCATTCGTCTTAATTTTTACACAGGATACCGGACGAACTGTCACGTTCTTAGCCGAGTCGGAACTGGGCGAGTCGACTTCCTATGAGAACGGCTTACGTTTCAAGAATGTCAATGGGTTCTGAGTTTAGGTTTCCATTTGCGGTGTTCGTGTCGGCTCACGGTTTAAGTTTCAATTGAACTTCGCTTGGCCCCGCTCGTTATTCCGGGACTCCAATCACGATCCTTCAGTTGCTTCCGTCTCTTTGTCAAATAAGCCTCAACCCAGGGAGTTAATATAAAATAGTTTCCACAGGTAATAAGCTCCGGTGACCTTGCCTCAAAGGAAGTGATCAAGCACTTGCTATTCTACTGACTGTTTGCGGCGTATATGTATGAATGCCTTCCCTGGGAATGTTCGTGAAGCCTATTCAGAATAAAACGGAAAAGGGGAGCGGATTGTGCCGCCTAGCGCCGCACTGTCCATACAAACGTTTTAAAAATGACAAAAGGAACACGTATCGGGCATGATGATTATTCTTTCCCCAAAGTTGGCCTTCGTAGAGACTCCGAAGGCCCAATCGCTCTCTTCCCCACAGGCTTTTGGTTCAAAGCAGTGTCCCTTTGTTTTTGTTGTGTTTTGCGATGCTGTTATTTGGCTTCTGGTGTGTATTTTATTGTCATGTTTTGTTTATTTTGTTAACACATGCAGCAGGGGAGAGTGGGGTAATGGTGGCACAAGAAGCTTTAATTATACGACTGACTTCAATTTTAAGAGGGCCAAAAATAATTCTCAGACGGTAGCAAAGACCATTTGATACCACTATACCTTGTGCGAAGCTGGGGTTACAAATTTTTCCGCCAAAAGTTGTTTTCTGGACGAGTATTCGAGTCGCTGTTCGGTGACAAGACTGGTAGTAAAGCCCTTCACTGACCAATCAAAAATGTGTACAATATTTTCTTGGCCGAAAGGGCATTCATTTGTAGACGCGCAAGAAATTAAAATTTTTTTCTTGGCGAGCAGGTCTGCAGAATCAGTCACTGACTCACTGTGTCGGGGATGCTTCCTATTCTCAGAAGCATTTTTGTTGTCTAAAAACCGACAGAGATGTCGCGACGCTTTCAAGACTTTTTTTAGCCTGTCATAGCTGAAGCGGGCACTTCAGCTGTTCATTCAGACAACATATTCCGCGCATCTAACTCCGTCTGAGGGGAATTTTCCACTGAATGTCTGACCTGTCACTGTCCCGAGATCCACCATTTAAAAGCCTGAAAGGAAATAAGAAGCGGGAATAAACAGGGCCCTGTGAAATAGCTGCCAGTCAGGACGGCCAACAGTCCACTGTCGATGGGCGCAGACCCAAGCCAAGCTCTTTAAAAAAAATCCCGGGCCGGGGCCGGGGGGGGGCTCTGCCCCCCCCGTGAAGCCGTCCGGGGGGGGGCACGAGCCCCACTGCCCCCCCGTAGTTGGCGCTTATGCCCCTAGCGAAATCCGAATTCCAAACGTACACTCCTGTAGTTCGACGTGCGAACATAGTTTTGCAGAAAGTTTTAAGTCTTCTTCTCACAGCTCAAGTCAAAGGTGGAAAAACGTTAAAATAGAGCAGAAACAGCGGCCGTGACTTTTACAATGCCCTGCACTGAATGTTAGTTGTCTGCATGCTGGTTAGTAAACTTGCTCTCAGGTGGTCTATGTTCATATATTTCATTAAAAGTATAATTTATCGCAATTATCTCGCTCATCGCCGGCCTCTGCTATTGGTTTTTTGCGTCCTTGTGTTCAGCAAGCCACCCAAGAGTGAGCTGACAAACCAGTGTGCTTACAAAGAACAGCCTGCTATAGGACATGGGAAATGTAAAGCCTCCAATTTTGCTTTATTTTTAATATTTCACTACCTCAGAATCGAGCACTAAAAAAAAACAGACATGAAACTTCTGGTGAAACTATGTTTGCGTGCCCAATTTCAGGTATGTACGTTTAGAATTCGTATTTTGCAAGGCATACCAAATGTGTTAGTCCTTACAGCCCCAGCTTGTACAATAAAAGAAGTATGACAAAAAAGAAATACCGTAAGCAAAAAAAATGTTACTCAAAACAATTCAACAAATTCCAAAATGAAAAACCCTGCCATTTGACTGAGCTTCTGTAATGATAAATAAAACAATTTTGAATTGCTTGCTTCTTCTACGGTGCAATACAAGTTTTCCAAGTCGTTTAGGAGTACCCTTTGGAGTGACCAACGGTTTATCTTGGAGCAGTCAAACAAGCCCTTTTAAAGCATAAACATTTACTTTCTCGTCTGTTTCCCTGTCTATTCTGCCTCAAGATTTGTTTGTTGGCCCGTCCAGCTAAAAGACATCTGTGTTTACAGTCCTGTGAAACCTGTATTCATTGCAGAGCACACAATTTAATTCTTCCAAATGCTTTACTGGCTTTTTAGTTGCACATAAAAGCCAGGAATGGCAACAGAGATGTCAGAAAAATCCCACTACGGTAGCCACTTCCAAAGCACATGCCGATTGATAAACGACATAGCACAGCCATGTGCAAATTGTAACTTAAAGCATGGAATCAAGGGTAAACCAAAAATGTTCTGCTGAAATAATGTTAGAACAAAACAACTTTGTGCAGCAAACTAAATGCTACGAGTTACAAGGCATGAAATTAAGCTGCACAATTCTAAACTTCACTAAAAGACAGCTTTGAAAATATGCCAAGGAAATCAAAGCTCGTAAGAAAGTGAAAGTTAAGATGCTTTGCTCAAGTTATAAAGGCCGAAATAAGACTGCGCAATTCTTCGGTTAAATAAAAATAAATGCTTTCGAAATGTAATTCCACACATCACAAAAGGCACTAAGGTAGTCCAAGTTGGTAAGCACTTGGCTTTGATGACACTTCATCGTACATTCAGCCAAAGCATGGCTAATGGCAAAGAGTGCACGCTGGAAGTGGGGCATCCGTAAAGTTCTTAACCCATTACCGTTTATACACGCTCGGCCGAAGGTATCATTCCGAAAATCTCAAATGAAAAACAAGCAAGAAACATGGTCAATGATGTCACACACAGCTTATTAGGACACATATCATTGTTTAATATTTGTTCCTGAACATTAGCTGGGGATATATTTTGAAAGTACCACTGCAAGGCAGAGTTACCATGCCAACATTCACTAAGCTCTCTTTTTCATTATTTTATTACGATTATTCTAATGCCCGACGCGCGCGCGCGTGCATTATCCCGGCCGCTCTGGAGCAGCGCTTTCCCTCACACACACCGCTGTAGCGAGGCGAAGCGAGACGCGCAGGAGCGCGGCGGTGTCCACCCCGCGGATGTCGCTTCTCCGCAGTGCAGCAGAGCCCGACGAGGAGCGCACTTAACGGAGCAAACACTAACCCTCGCGGAACTTCCGAGCACTGTCGGGGCTCGGCGAACCACAGCATCCGTCCCCCCCGCAAATTTCCGCATTCGCGCCAAAGGTTCGGCGCCGCGTGACGTCACGACTCACGTGACTCTCCCGGCGGCGCGGCATGCGGAAGGCCTTCTCCCAGCGGAAGAGAAGGGCATTTAGATGAGGCCACAAAGACCGGGGCAGGGACCGGCGACCGGCGGCGCCGGGATGCCCTTCCCGCCTCTTCTTCGTCGTCCATGTCCACGCGAATGTTCACGCCGTCCACGCGCGGCCGGACGCATGACCGATCGCGCGCCGGATGCGCGCACCCTTTGCTTTTTCGTCGTCTACATGTTGGCGGCTAAACGCGTTCTCAGCAAAAGCAACGACCAAACCGCCAGCCGAGTGCATTTGTTTTTCCAACTTTATCCGTGTCGATCTACCGAACACTGTTCCGCCGATCGTACTTGACTAGAGAAGAAACAAAAAAAAAAGGTATGCCTGTCATTGCTAATAACAATTCCAGGCGATTTCTTCCCATACGCCATATTTTTTTCCATACATTTTGTTTCCTTCCCCATTTCGAACGTTTCAGGTTCAATAAACGGTGATGATAAGAGCTAGTGCGAGCCACGTGTCAAACAGCTTGTTAATTGACAAGACACATTTTCTGCCCTGGCCAAGTTTTACATACAAAACGTTGGTAGCAACGAAGCCAAGCAAGCCCGTGGCTATAAAATTAATCGTTGCGGTAATCGCTAGATTTTCACCCGGCAATCAATGACGACGCTTGGGGTCCCTTTCGACGCAATACCGAATTACCTCTTTATAGATAGCAACAATTTTCTACAAGTGACCCTGGAACACTTCCAAACCTACACAAAACCAGACAGAAAAGTTGGGCGGTATTTGAGAGATCAAATCTACGCAACATCTATGACTCTGAAAAATAGCCGCTTGTAACATCGTCAAAATTATTTTAAGCCCCTGGCGAGAGAATGGTGCGTAAAACATTACGAAACATACTCGAAGGTAGGAAACGTTCCAGATCTACCCAATAGGTGGCGCCAGTGTTTTAAGCGGTTACAAGAGACTGTAACGCACAAGGGAATATAAACCACGACACAAGCTCACACCGGCACCGTTGGCAGCGGTGTACATTACGGAAGTATGAAACGGAGCGAGCCTTTACCAGTTATGCGGTCAAACGGCCAACCGCCCTATGCTGGCAAGCCAAACACCATCCCCATTGTCTACGACGAAATGAGCGCCAAAGGAAAACCACTCGCCTCCCAGTCGCCGGGAGAAGCGTTGGGACCCAGCGCGACCGGGGCGGTGCTGCCGTCGAAGAACTTGAAGAAACGCAGGGCTCCGCCCTTCTTCCCGATCACGGAGTGGCCGACCTTGGTTCCAGCGTCTGGCGTCCCGCCGTCTTCGCCCGCCGGCACTTCGCCGTCTCCCTCTTCTTCTTCGTCGCCGGAGTCCGGCAAGCTCTCGAAGCCCCGAAGGGAGAGGTCGGCTCGGTGGACGTCACCGTAGACCGATGGTGCCCATCTCTCCAGGAAGTAGTAAAGCTCGTCCACCCTGTCGCACATACGGAAAGGTTAAGTCTTTCTCGAGGCATCGTGGTGGCAGTGGTATAGCAAGACCGGCCGGTGCGATCACTCTATTCGAGAAGCGGTTTTTACAAAGAACAGATGTGCCATTGACTCACAGCCGTATCTTATGACATAGTCGTACAACACTATTATAAGAATGGGCCTTATCAGATTTCCATTGGTAACCAATTAAGGGGCTACTAGTAGTACTGTACAGACCCCCCTGCACTAGTAAAGACAATTTCTCCGGGAGAAATTCTTCGGTACATCACTAATTTAAATGTCTGTACCAGGATTAGAAGCATATTTCAACTCTACAAAAGATTCTATGTAACAATACACTTAAAAATGATGCTTAAAAAGAATACAATTTCAGTTTTAATTTGCAGGTAAGAAATATGACATTCATATTCAGGCTCGCAGGAACAGGTCCCCCAAAAAATATACCAGCAAAACCGAAGTGGTGTTAGTGTAGTTTGCGACTCTAGGAATAAAAACGCAAGAAAAAATTCAGCTTGTAGCACTCTGTAGCCTCTTATTTAGTTCTAGAGTCGTTATGTAGCGTTACAATCGCAGTTTGATCAAAAGCTGTCGCGGCGATCGTAATCGAAATGACACACTTTCCTGTCAAAAGAATGAAAAAATTATCGCAAAACATGCAAGCAAGAACGGAAGGAAAGGGTCACAGAAGCGCTTTCTGCGAGGATCGCAAGGGACCACTGACCGGGTGCGCGGTATGCCGAACCAGTACTGGGGCCGCAGCCGGTATTTTCCCCGGGTACTGGCGGACCGCGGAAGCCTCTTGTGCAGTGGCTTGCCCATGCGCAGGCAGAGGTAGAGCAGCGGAGCCTCCGATGACTGTGCCGGCCTCGGTACCAGCTCTGTGCAAGATTGCCAGGCATGTCCACATTAACTCCCGTCGTGCCGTAGACTGCCACACTGATGCACTTGCTGAACCTCTGTTCCCAGGCAATGCCTCATCCTTGAGGGCAAAAACTCTGCTTTGCATGTTGCTTAACCTACATACCTCTTTAATTTTTTTTGTGTGGAGATGTTGGTATGATCTGTGCAACGACGGCTATTCCTCTTTCTGTGCAGTATTACTCAACCTACCCCCATGGCTACGGCAATCAAGCCTACTTAATCTCAAATAATTCAAAGTAAACCAATTCCTAGCTCCAGCTTAAGTAATCAGCATAGCCTAAGCTAACCACAGCTATTAATATAATCCCACCTGACCTAATAAACCTTCATTAGTAGAACCTTGGCTAGTGGATTTTTGACTAGCAGGAGCACAGCCAGCATGACCTTAACTAGCAAACCCTGTGTGGCAAAACCTTAGGCGGCAAAACCTTAGGTGGCAAAACTTTAAGTAGCAAATCCTTAGGCAGAAAACTGTTGGGTAGAACATCCTTAGGTAGAAAATCTTTAGGTAGCAAATCATTACTTAGCAAAACATTAGGCAGCGAATCCTACCTTGAATATCCCGAGGGATGCCCCACCTCCGAAGGATAAACCACCCCTAATTTTGGCAGGATTTGCTATTTTTATGAAGCGCCGAAAGATGCCCCACTTCTAGTAATTGCAGGGCCTTGGCCATTGGTCACTTCAGCAGAAATGGTGTTACTTAGCCACAACGGGAAACAAGCGAACACTGCGGACCGGGAAGGACAGTTTTTGGTTCATTGCCCTTCCAATCACAAGTTTTGCAGGTCACAAAGTTTAAAACTAGCATTTTTTTCAACTCTTTTTGATCACACACTGAAAGTTAGTTCACTCCATATTTTCACCCAATTTGCTTTTGCTTTCAGGTGGGCTATATCTCCGGATATTATGACAGGCAGCAAACCTAGGTAGCATAGCTTTAGGTAGAAAAACCCTAGGTAGAAAAACCTTATGTAGAACTCTTAGGCAGCAAAACCTTACATAGCAAAACCAACAGAAGAGCTAGTAAAGTAAAATAGTTATGTAACTAACACTTACCTAATTGAGATTAAGCTAGCATAACCAAGCTAAATCGGCCCTACAAAATCTGGGTACAAGCTTCAGCGAGCATTTGGAATAAATGGTACAGGTGTTGTAAGGAAAGACCAAGATGCTGCTAAACTCTCTTCACAAACAAAATGGAATTATAAATAGAATACCTAAGAGAGGCAGCTTCACAGGTGGGCAGTTTAGTAAGCTGCTATGCGTGTTGATTAGAAAAACTAATATCCTAGCCATTGGTACAGAGGTCTAGCACAAGTGCACATACTGTGGCTTCCATCACAATTAACCCTTTCCAAAAACAAATGCCATCTAGTAGTGCATGTAGCATCATAATTAACAAACTAATGGCAACACCACAACCATAATGGCAAGATTAAGTTCCACCCAGCTTTGTTAGCCGAGTCAAGGTCTCATTTCGAGCTAACACAGGGGATTGAAGGACTCTTCTCATCAGTACAGTAAACCTTCAATGCAATGAATTGGGGGGACCATTTGAAAATGTTTGAGCCGGTTTTAGAGAGGTCAGGACGCAGCAAGTCGAATGGTATTCTTTTGTAGGCAAAAAGGCTTACCAAGCATTTAAGTGTAAAAAAATTTCAGAACTGTCTTGCACCATTCACCATCATGCTCAAAACTTGGGGGCAGAGTGGTAAGAAGAAAAAACACAACTAGCACCTATTTCCATGCATGTAATCACATTGCTGCCATGCATAAGGAGATGCAAGATATAGTACTGTCACAACTAAATCGCATTCATTTTTGGTAAAGGTCTATTTAATAAAGTCTACACAAATGCACAAAAAAAAAGATTATTGCTCCAAGATAGGACACACCCACCACCACAAAGATTGTAAAATCGCGAAAGCCCGCCCGCTGCCTAAGCAGACTCACCGTTTAGAGGCTCCACAAACAAAGAGCGGAACAAGCACAAAATGCATTAAACTTTACTTACAGCAGCTTTCGATACAACAAAAAAGCTTTGAAACAATGCTTTCTTTTTCTCACTGCAAAGGCAGACATACAATCAGCAAACGGAAATGCGCAAAGCAAAATCAAGCTGGAGGTAATGAAAAGCGGAGGCAGGTAGAAATGAAGGGATGTACAGGGTGCGGCCGTAAAAACTTTCACATTTGGCACGCCTAGGAAAAAACGAATTTCAAACGTAAATACCTGAAATTGGGCACACGAACGTCGTTTATTCCAAAGTTTTTTGCCTATTTTTTTCAGACGTCAACTCTGGAGTAGCGAATTATTAGAAAGATAACAAAAATGGCAGACATGCATTTCCTATGGCCTATACCCGCCCGTTCGCCGTCTGCTATCTAATTCGCGACGCCGCTCCCAGATGGCGCACTGAACGCAAAAACGCGGGAAACGCCGCACGAAAGGCTGGTATCGGGCGAGATAATCGCGATAAAAAGTGATTTTACCGGAATATGTGAACGATTATGCCTTTTTACTTGAAATTTAGAAACTGGCGGACGCCCTCGTTTAATAAAAATACTTTCTAAAGCAGACGAACGTGTGTCTTCCTTTGTCGTCTGGTTATCTGTTGACGGGTCCGTTCCCGGTGAAAGCTCAACTTTATAATCAAGCGTGCCGCTGCTGAGGCATCATGATTGTTCCTATTTATTGTTTTTGTTGCATTATCTTCTGCAGTTATTATTAAAATATTTTCCGCGCCGCCCTGCGATGCCGCAATACCCGGCAAGTGAGTGTTCCCAGGCAGTCAAGTGGTACATGGAGCGAAACTCGGTGGCCACAGCACAACGAAAATTTCGCACTGCATTTCATAAACGCCCGCCTTTACGCCCGACTGTTTTGAGTTGGGCGGATCGTTTTGTGAGTGGAGAAGACTTCAAAAAGAAGAATACAGTCAGTGAACGTGAGAGCCTGTTGAAAAATGAGGAGCTTATTGAAGCGGTCCTTGCTGTCTTCGAGAGCGACCTGCAATTGTTAACAAGACGAGCAGCTGCAAATAAATTATCTTGTCGCATCATGTTGTCTTCTTGCTTGCATGACGATCTGTCAGAGCTTGACTTGAAACAGGTAATTTCAACAATCGTTCATATATTTCGTTCAAATCACATTTTATCGCGATTATCTCGCCCGACACCAGCCTCTCGTGCGGCGTTTCCCGCGTTTTTGCGTTCAGTGCGCTACCTGGGAGCGGCGTCGCGAACCGGATAGCAGACGGCGAACGGGCGGGTATAGGCCATAGGAAATGCACGTCTGCCATTTTTGTTATCTTTCTAATAATTCGCTACTCCAGAGTTGACGTCTGAAAAAAATAGGCAAAAAACTTTGGAGTAAACGACGTTCGAGTGCCCAATTTCAGGTATGTAAGTTTGAAATTCGATTTTTGTTAGGCGTGCCAAATGTGAAAGTTTTTACGGCCGCACCCTGTATGTACGCAATGGCAGCACGCATTTCAAGCAGCCAGCAAGGCAGCGTTTTGATGTAAAAAAACAAAAAAAAACATATCGCAGCCTTTTCAGGCTCCACGAAAATAAAATGCTGAAAGAGAGTGAGAATGAAGAGAAAAAGAGAGAGAGAGAGAGAGGCTGAAGGATGAGGGCTGCTGACAGTAGTGGTAGTACTAACCGTGGTCGTCAAAACAGAAGCCCAGCTCTGCACAGGTTGTGATCCGAGGATTGAGGCATGAGCAAAGATTTACGGGGTTAGTGATCTTTAGCAGTCACAATGCCAGTCGTGCCGGGTACAAAATGCCGGCTCTAAGCTTGATCAGACCCATCTAGTGACCATGTTCTGCTATCTGTCATAAAAAAAAAAAAAAACGCCAACGGGTGGGATATAAGAAAATGGCTGTCAGTGTGACCGTGGTGAGCTGAATGTCGCTAGATTGGAATTTGATGGGTCAGTTGGACTGTATGAGCTCGCATATGTAAATTAAATAAAAATTCGAGAGAGAAAAATAGGCGATGCTTCAGCTACCACACTTAGATCACCCCACTCTAGAAATGTAGAATCCTTCTCCTAGAACCTGAATTCAAGCAATATGTTCATGAGTGACAAAAAAAAATTTGTACAAAGTTACCATTTACTAAAACATACCGTATGTGTTGATGTATGACAAAAAGACGTCTGTGCAAAGTTACTATTCACCAAAAACAAACAATATATACACATATATAGTATTAGCGATGCTGTACATCACATTAGTGAGCCCAAGCCTTACTTTCAAGTGTATAGATAAACTAGAGGATATACTGTTATGGAAGAAAACAAAAAAAAAGTCTTAAAAAACAAACGCCTATAGTAACAAACTAAAGCTGGAGAGAGTTAATAACTGGGCCAGATGGTACTGATTTATAATGAAAAAACAAAGCATCTTTTAGTTGTCCCGATTCTTGGTGCACTTTCGTTTTTCATTATAAACTAGAAACTGCTTAGTGATATACGAGACACTTCCCTGCATTTTCGGCTATCTCGCATAGAGATTCGCAACACTGTAATCCATGAAAAAAAAAAAAAAAAGCCAGGCAGTGTTAGCAGTGTCTGATTCAGGCATCCTTAGTAACAGCAGAAAGAGACTACATAATACCACGCTGCAATATTAAAAATGCAAAAAAAAAATAGAACAAAGGAACTCACTTTCGAGGGCAGCAAACAGCTCCGGCTTCTCTTCGACCATGTTCTTCAGCCAGACGTTGGCGTTGTCGGTCCGCGACGGCGGCCTCCGCTCGTCCTCGCCCGGCGGAATGACGGCCACCTCCTTTGGGACGGCCGCCTCTTCCGAGCCCCGGACGAAGATGCCCGCCGAAAAGTCCGCCAGTGACTTGGGCGACGACGCGATCATCTTGGAAATGGAATGCGTGTAGGACGAGATAGATTCCATCGGGTTTGAAAGACGCTTGAGGACCCGCTCGTGAGCAGACTCCTGGCTCTTCTCGGTCTCCATCGAAGCCCATTCTCGCATCCGAAGCGTCACATGCTCCATCGAGTTTCTTGGCTCCGCTGTTTCTACCGCCTCCAGCTTCAGCGTCGGAGTCGTTCGGACTGGGGGCATCTCGAGGTTGGAGTGGAGAAGAGGATCGGTCTCGACGTTCCGTTCCAGGGGTGGAGGCTTTTCTCCGACTCGTTTCGGAGTTGTCCTTTCGGGAGTCTTTTCGATGGCCTTCTCGGTCGTCTTATCGACTGGTTGCTCCACTGACTTCTCCACCGGCTTCTCGGTCGGTTCTTCAGCCAGCCTCTCGACCGGCTCGGCTTCCTTTACGGCTGCTTCCTCTGTCGCCTTCTTTGCCGTACCGTCGACCGCTTTATCACCTGCCATTTCGACTGCCTTCTCGGACACCTTTTTGGCCGCCTCCTCGGACGCCTTCTCGGCCGCCTCCTTGGACGCCTTCTTGGCCGCCTCCTTGGACGCCTTCTCGGCCGCCTCCTTGGACGCCTTCTCGGCCGCCTCCTCGGCCACCTTCTCTGCCGCCTTCTCAGCCACCTCTTCGGCCGCCTTTTCGGCCGCCTCTTCAGCCATCTTTTCCGCAGACTCCTCCGGTATGCTTTCGGCCGTACAACCGGCCATCTCCCTGGCCTCCTTTACTGTTGCCTTTTCGGCCGTCTCGTCTATCGCCTTCTCCGCCATCTCTTCGGCCACATTTTTTCCCGACTTTCGAGCCGGCTTTTCTACTAGCTTTCCAACCAGCTTTTCTGCCAGCTTTTCTGCCCGTTCCTTTGCCATCCCTTCAACCACCGCTTCAAGAACGACTTCCACAGTCTTCAGACTCGGCTCTTTGGCTGCTCCAACTGCTTGCTCGTTGACCTGTAAACAGGCAGGCTTCTCCGGCTGCTCACCTTGCTTGTCCTCCATCTTTCCCACCCCGCCATCAACCGCACTCGAAGTCTGTTCACTCCGAGGCTTGACCCCGAGGCGCGCCTTCACGTCCCTCTCTACACTGGCCCCTTCCGATGAAGTCCCGACCGCCCCTCCCTCGCTAAGCCCCGCCACAACTGCCGCCTGGCCGACCGGTTCTTCGGCACGTCCCAAGACGACTTCGTCGCTCCGCGACGCTTTGTCCTCGGCCAAGACATCAACACCACCGGCCGCAGTCACTTTTGTCGTCACTTCCAAGGATTTGGTGGTTTCCTCGAGCGACGGAGAGGTCGGCGGGGACGTGACGACCACTTTTGCTTCTTCGAGTGCCACCGCGGTCGGTTGGACGACCTCTCCTGCCACGTCACCGGGAGCGAGACCGTCCCTCAAGGAGGGACCGGTATCGAGTGGTAATGTACTGCCTGGAAAATCCAGCAGGAGGTCTTCGACTCTGGGCTTGTAGTCTGCTGGCCTGTAGGGGGTCTCGAGTACCAGGTCGGATGTTTTGGCCACTGCTGCCGTGTCCCTGTAAAAGCAAACCCACAAGGTGTAACTTTTATGCGCATTTAAAGCAGGTGTTCGTTTCCTTTTTGATCTAGGTTATAGCAAGTTTGTTTCACACGCACTGGCACTGTTAGAGTTCTCTTCCAGAATGCATCGCACTCACAGGGTGTCGCTCAAAGAACTGGCCTCAAACAAACTTGCCAACGGCACGTAGTGCAGACTGATGCAGTCGCCATTTATGTTGTAAAAAGAGTACCGACTTCAAACCGAAACTAGCGCCTTTCTGTTTGATGTGATGGCAGGGAATGCGTGAGTGTAGTCACTGCCAACATTTATCTATAAACGTTGGTCGCCGCAACCTGTAGATTATATTTGCGACGACTTCCAGCAACTCGGTGGTCGTAGAGATACTTGCAGACGGCGTAAATTTCCGCAACCAGCTGACCGCTAAGCAGCTAGTTGCAATCTTTCAATTCTTATAACCGTTTACACTGGAGAAAACTCAGGATGATGTCTGCGCAGAACTTTTATCTGTTTGAGCATGGTATTATCCGTGAACTACTGAAAGGGTACGGTTTAAAACTGGCCTGTTGAAATATTCAACAACTTGTTTCGTGGGAATTCCGATCATTGTTACAGGTGGATTACAGGTTACACGTAGCCTTGGTGAGGGCATCGAGAACGAGAGCTTTCTCAAACAAAATACAACAATGTAAGATCGGTGACGTAGGTAAATGTTGAACATTATGATGTTACTCAAGGCTCGGGTAGAGTCACTATACTTTCTCGGATGCGTATTGGGCAGTCGCAGGTTTCTGCTGGGGGAACTTCGTCGACAAATGTTCAATTTTTCATTCGCATACACATGGTGATAAAGATCTCGGGGGCCGCTAATGTATTTGTTCTGAGCGCTTTTTGACACACTGGTATGAGCGTTTGCACGGCAACAGAGCGACTACAAACTTGCAAATAAAGCACGAGCTATCAATTGCTCTCTTCATGAAATAGTAGACACTCACAATTCAAGCTCGCGTTTGACTCCGTTGCCCGCGGGACACGATTTACATCAGAAAATCAATTTTTTCCTTTCCGTTCCGCTGTACGAATGACACGTCGTGGCAAAGGAACCCTCGTCGTCTGCCGGAGCGAGGCACGACGGGATTGCATTTTGGCGCACGCTCTACTTTCTCGGTGCAGCGAGTGCATGCATGCGTGGGGTACCGGCGCTGAAACAAACTTTGAGAGTGCAACCACTCGTGGGGTGCGGGCCGAAACGAACCCACTCCACGTTGAGAGGAGGCACATGTGGGCACGAGTGCTGTGAAACGAACGCGCTATTTTTAGCTAGCTCTTGATTGCTACCTACTAGCCCCAGAAATACTCTACTGCCATGGAAAAGATTAAACCATTGAGTCTTGATGGGAAGTGTGGTGGAAGGCCTCTGCTGGGGTTCCACCATACTTTCTGTCAAGACTGAAATAGCAAAAATATGAGTATAGTGATTAAATTTGATGCATGTATGCTTGTACTAGCACTAATTCGGCATACTGATATCGGAGAAGATATTGGTATATAAAAGATAAAATTGCCCATCTAAAGAAGGTTTAAAAAAAAAAGAAGCTGACTTTATTGTAGAGAGGTTCTACAATTAATGCCACAACAAAAATATGAACATAAACTGCCAAAAGATTGCCGACAAAAAAAATTAGATATTGGTAACACAAATTGTAAAACATATGGCCAAAGCACCGGACAAAAATGATGTGTTAACATGCACACTCTGAAGAAAACAATCAAGTCTTTTGAAAAACTACAAAACCTTTTAAAATGGTGTCGCACTAAATTTGAACGAGGAACCAGCTGTTTTCAGATGCAATTTCAAGATGCTTTCAGCACATGCCAGTAAGTGAAACCACCATTGAACCTTTGTTGTAAGGCGTATGCAGAAAGTTTTCAATTACCAGTAAGGGGGGGGGGGGGGGGGGCCTGAAACTTTGCC